CGCGGAGTGGGAGCGCGCGCCGGCCCGTGTCCCTGGCCCCGCGCGCTGGCGGAGAGCCGAGACTCCCACTCACTCCCCGGGTGAGTCGGAGCCCGAGCGTCCGCGGGCGTTCGCGCGTCCGCTTCTCCGGTACCTCCTGGCGCCGCGCGGGGTCCGAGTCCTCACACCGCCCCCAGGTGCGCGGCCGCTGGGACTTCTTGGGGGCACCAGGGCAGACACGGTAAGTCTGACGTAGTGTCCTGTTTTTTCTGCCACCTTCTGGGCTGGGGAGGGAGTGGTCACCACTTTAACTTACAAGTGGGAGTCCGGGTGCTTGACTAAACTTTTAAAAACCAGGTCTTCCGTGGATCGCCTTTCCGAAGTGCCCGTGCACCTTGGAGTACTTCTGGCCCCTTGTGAAGGGACCATTCAGCCACCTTTGCAAAGAAGGGGTCAAACTGATGGATGGAGCTGTGGTGGTCTTAAGTACCTGAGGCTGGACCTTCCTCCTTCTCATACCTCGTGTTGCTGCGTCTTGGGGTGCCAGTGCTCGGGACCCCTACTCTGCCTTTCTTTTGGAGGGTGTAAGGACCCTGTGCTTCTGAGCTTCTATTGACGCCCAGTCATTGCGCAGCATTCTCTCCTGTGGCCCCTCCCACCACAAAGTTCTTACCTGCTTCCTTTGGTAGTATTAACGAGTTTGTGCTTGGGAAGATTTTTGGAAATCTGGACACCACTCTTGGGTTTGGAGAAGACTGTTTGTTGGGAGTTCGGTTGTACTAGTGTTGCAAAATCACCCCTTTTCTCCCATCAGTGTGTCCCGTCACAAATCCCATGTTTCACACTCACATATTTGCCCTTGTATTAATGCCACATTGTTGGGCATTGTATGGGATTGTGTGTTTACACAGGATGGAAGTGAAGAGGGTGTTACGGTGTAAGGTTTGTTTCCGTTCTACCAGACAGGCCCACTTTGGGACCACAGAGAAGGTCCAGAGAGGTACCTCCAGGAGGTTGTGATGCTCAAGGTCAGTAGTTGGGAGGAACTGAGTGATGGTGTTTCTTCTCAGAAGTCTTTGCTGTGATTTCTGGTTTTTCATAATGGATTTATGTTACTTTTAAAGTGAGGTGGAGGGAGTAGTGGGGAAAGATAGTGAAAGGTGTTTGTTTAACAGAATATTAGGATGAACAGTTTTATGTACTATGTGCAAGAGTGTGTGTATATTAAAAGGAAAATACTTAGATGGTTAGGGCAGCAGTCTACTATCATGTACTATCCCTGCTCCGTTTGACCTATACATTATCTAGTAGTGGCTTAAACTAACAGATCAAATTCGTTCACAGTCATGTGCAACATGTTTGACAGGCTGGCTACAAATATGATGGTGGTACCATAAGATTATAATGGAACTTAAGTATTCCTATTGCCTACTAACATTGTGACCTCGTAGTGATTGTAATATCCTAGCTCCATGCATCAAGCATGTGTTTGTGATAATGCTGATGTAAACAAACCTACTTTGCTGATACTTGTAGGCATTAAAAGTATAATGGGTCTCATCTGTGCGGAATATGTGCTATAGCACTAAGATAACAACCCTAGCCTTGTAAATACTTGATAATGAGAATAAACAAAGTTACTGATTTACCTAGTTACTATAACTAAGCTTTCTGTGGTTAGAATGTGCTCCTTCTAACTTATGGGAAAAAAAAGTTTACTATAAAACAATGTGTCACACTCCTGAACAGCAGCTCAAACACTTATATTTACCATATATCTTGATTTCAACAAGAGGCCCATCAAATTATTGACCTACATTATTTAGGTTTGTGTAAGTACACTCTCAGGTTTGCACAATGGCGAAATCACTTCAGTGATGCATTTATCAGATTGTATCCCTATTAAGTATGTGACTGTCATGTATTGACTGTTATTTTGTATCCTGTTACTGCAAACTGACTAGTTTTATATATGTGTGTCTGTGTGTGATGTGACTCAGTTACCTTATTTTGGGACTACTTTATAGATGCGTAATTTAGGAAGAAAATAAGTAATGATTTTGATGTGTTAGAGTTTCTCCAAGTGGTCATCATTTATTAGGGAAATCATTCTTGTAAAATACTGTGTTTTTAATACTTAACTGTATTTGGACAAATCAAAGTGGTATTTGTGTGTTTGTATAAAATTCAGATTCAATAAAAATTGGAGGATAGTAGCTTTTTATTTTTTTTCCAGAACGAGAAAATAGCAAGTCTTCTCTAAAGAATTTGAGCTTCAAATTAGAAAAGAGAACACTTTATAGAGAAAAAGTTAGGATTTAAAAATTTTTAAATTGAATTTATATAAACTTTGAATGGAACATTGATTTTCTTTTTTTTAATATTTATTTATTTATTTTTGCATTACAATTTTTTTTTTAAGAGAGAGTGAGAGAGGAGGGAGAGAGAGAGAGACTTTTTAAAAAATATTTATTTATTTTTTTAGTTCTCGGCTGACACAACATCTTTTGTTGGTATGTGGTGCTGAGGATCGAACCCGGGCCAGGCAAGCGCGCTACCGCTGAGCCACATCCCCAGCCCGCATTACAATTCTTAATACACCATTAGGAACACTAATTTTCTCTAACTCATATTTGCTACATACATATTTGCAGTTTACAGGGCTGTTTGGAAGTGGGTGAGCGGATATGGTCATTTGCTAATGGCATGTTGTAAATCCTTTAAAATTAGCATGCTCTTTGTTCCAAATCTTTATGACAAACCATAAGTATCAAAGTATGAACCATAAGTATTCAAGAGCCCCCCTTTTATGGTGAGTGGCTTTAGATGCTGGTTGGTAGGTAGTGTATGAGGAGTCCCTCTGAACACATCCTTTCTACCTTGAGCACCTGACCTGTGAATCTTGTTATGAATAGGTGGTTTCTAGATACCTGTCTTTTTGTCCTGGCTCAAAAAAGATATGGAAGTGGAAGGCAAAAGTCAGAGCAGTGTCCTTACTTCACACCTAAACTGGGAAATTTGGGGAGTAGCTTCAGGTACCTGACAAGGCTTCCCAGCCTAGAAAGTTATTTCCAGTGCTGTGGCTACTTTGCTGTCTAATTCTGTAGTTATTCCATAAGTAGTTGAATGACAGTGGCTCTAGGTTTGGGTCTAGTTTAGTCCTTGGCTTTAAATACAAATTAGGAATTCAGGCTCAAGGCCAGGGGTTTGGTTAATCACAGCAGGAGGCCAGAGCTTTGGGTCAGACTCTTGGGGTGAGGAAGCTGTAGTGGAAAGCTTGCTCTCAGTAACCTTGGGCCTCCTGGATTATGACTGGCACAGTTTGTGATTGAAGAGGATTCTTTTATGGAACTGTAAATCGATCTGAAGCTCTCTCTATTGTTATCCTGGTATCTCTCTATTGTTATCCTGTTCACCTGGATTGCCCTTTTTTCTCTCCTCTGGATTGTCCTTCCTCAGACTTCAAAAAAATAAAACTAACACATGTGGCTTCTCAGGTCCCAAAGGTTGGATATAGTCTCCTTTGAATTAAAATCATTTGTTAGTTTCTGAAGTACATCAGAGTCCTCTAGATAATTCTGTTACACTCAAATTTGAGATGAGAACTGATATATACTGATTTTTGTGCATTGAATGTTATTTTGTATCTTGTTAGAGGAAATCGAGAAAACTGGCAAATTTTGTATGTTTGTGTGTATTTGTATGTGAAGTGATACATCGTCTTCTAACTCAGCTACCTTATTTTAAGACTTACTTTGTAGATCCATAATTTGGATAGCAGATAAGTAATGATTCTGATGTGTTAGACTTTCTCCAAGTGGTCATCATTTATTAGGGAAAGGCATTCTGTAAAAGCTCTAAGGAGTGCTGGGGATATAGCTCAATTGGTAGAGTGCTTGCCTTGCATGCACAAGGCCCTGGGTTCTAATTCCCAACACCACACACACACACACACACACA